AAATATTCCAGCTCCTGCCCCCAACATCTTGCTCCTGGGGGATTTCAACTTAAGGCACATAAAATGGAGGAATATAGCAAATAATGTTGTTGCAGTAATAACACCACGAGGCAGCTCTGATGAAAACTCACACTCACACGAGCTTTTAAATCTCTACACAAAATTCAATTTAAACCAGCAAATAATAGAGCCTACTAGACTGGAGAATACACTAGACCTCATCTTCACTAACAATGATGATCTGATAAGAAATGTCACCATATCAAAAACAATATACTCAGATCACAACATAATTGAGGTTCAGACATGTATGCGTGGATCCCCAGACCGACATAATGAGACTAGTCACGAGGGAGCATTCACCAAATTCAACTTCAATAACAAAAACAAAGTGGGACCAAGTAAACCAAGTCCTAACCGATATAAGCTGGGAAGATATACTAAGCAACACAGACCCCAACTTATGCCTAGAACAGATTAACTCGGTGGCACTCGATGTATGCACAAGGCTTATTCCTCTAAGAAAAAGGAGGAGTAGATGTAAAATAGAGAGAGACAGGTGCTCCCTTTACAGGCGACGGAAAAGAATAACAGAGCAGCTAAAAGAGGTCAATATATCTGAAATGCGTAGGGAAACACTGGTCAGAGAAATAGCAAGCATCGAACTTAAGCTAAAAGAATCCTTTAGGGGTCAGGAATCGCGGGAAGAACTAAAAGCCATAAATTAAATCGAAAGAAACCCAAAGCATTTCTTCTCCTATGCCAAATCAAAATCGAGAACAACATCCAGTATTGGGCCCCTACTTAAACAAGATGGGTCCTACACAGATGACAGCAAGGAAATGAGTGAGCTACTCAAGTCCCAATATGACTCGGTTTTTAGCAAGCCGCTAACCAGACTGAGAGTCGAAGATCAAAATGAATTTTTTATGATAGCCACAAAATTTGATTAATACAAGCCTATCCGATGTTATCCTGATGCCAAATGACTTCGAACAGGCGATAAATGACATGCCCATGCACTCTGCCCCAGGGCCAGACTCACGGAACTCTGTGTTCATCAAGAACTGCAAGAAGCCCCTATCACGAGCCTTTTCCAACCTATGGAGAGGGAGCATGGACACGGGGGTCGTCCCACAGTTACTAAAAACAACAGACATAGCCCCACAGCAAAGAACTACAGACCAATAGCACTAACATCCCATATCATAAAAATCTTTGAAAGGGTCCTAAGAAGCAAGATCACCACCCATCTAGAAACCCATCAGTTACACAACCCAGGGCAACATGGGTTTAGAACAGGTCGCTCCTGTCTGTCTCAACTATTGGATCACTACGACAAGGTCCTAAATGCACTAGAAGACAAAAAGAATGCAGATGTAATATATACAGACTTTGCAAAAGCCTTCGACAAGTGTGACCATGGCGTAATAGCGCACAAAATGCGCGCTAAAGGAAATAACAGGAAAGTCGGTCGATGGATCTATAATTTCCTCACTAAAGAACACAGAGAGTAGTCGTCAACAGAGTAAAGTCCCAGGCAGCTACGGGGAAAAGCTCTGTTCCACAAGGCACAGTACTCGCTCCCCTCTTGTTCCTCATCCTCATATCCGACATAGACAAGGATGTCAGCCACAGCACCATGTCTTCCTTTGCAGATGACACCCGAATCTGCATGACAGTGTCTTCCATTGCAGACACTGCAAGGCTCCAGGCGGACATCAACCAAATCTTTCAGTGGGGTGCAGAAAACAATATGAAGTTCAACGATGAGAAATTTCAATTACTCAGATATGGTAAACATGAGGAAATTAAATCTTCATCAGAGTACAAAACAAATTCTGGCCACAAAATAGAGCGAAACACCAACGTCAAAGACCTGAGAGTGATCATGTCGGAGGATCTCACCTTCAAGGACCATAACATTGTATCAATCGCATCTGCTAGAAAAATGACAGGATGGATAATGAGAACCTTCAAAACTAGGGAGGCCAAGCCCATGATGACACTCTTCAGGTCACTTGTTCTATCTAGGCTGGAATATTGCTGCACACTAACAGCACCTTTCAAGGCAGGTGAAATTGCCGACCTAGAAAATGTACAGAGAACTTTCACGGCGCGCATAACGGAGATAAAACACCTCATTTACTGGGAGCGCTTGAGGTTCCTAAACCTGTATTCCCTGGAACGCAGGAGGGAGAGATACATGATTATATACACCTGGAAAATCCTAGAGGGACTAGTACCGAGCTTGCACACGAAAATCACTCACTACGAAAACAAGACTTGGCAGACGATGCACCATCCCCCCAATGAAAAGCAGGGGTGTCACTAGCACGTTAAGAGACCATACAATAAGTGTCAGGGGCCCGAGACTGTTCAACTGCCTCCCAGCACACATAAGGGGGATTACCAACAGACCCCTGGCAGTCTTCAAGCTGGCACTGGACAAGCACCTAAAGTCAGTTCCTGATCAGCCGGGCTGTGGCTCGTACGTTGGTTTGCGTGCAGCCAGCAGCAACAGCCTGGTTGATCAGGCTCTGATCCACCAGGAGGCCTGGTCACAGACCGGGCCGCGGGGGCGTTGACCCCCGGAACTCTCTCCAGGTAATGGAAGATGATACTGTCAATGGTGCGTCAACTACATTGCTGATCGATAAACTTTCAACTGGGGCAAAAAATTAAAACCGAAGCTTTAGTTTTTTTATGCTGCATCTACAGTAAAATATTAGCCTAGCCATTTTAAGGTTGCATTACGGTATAGTTCTATCCTGGGTAAATATCCAGATCGGATCTTCTTGTAATTTAAGCGTAATTTATTCTTAACTGTCAGACAAGTAACACTATAGTGTTACCTTTTTTAAGATGGATAAAAGCAGTGACGTTTAATGGTGGCAGGTTCCAGCTGCTTAGGTATGGAAAGAATCAAGAACTCTAAAGGAACACTGCATACAAAACAAGAGGATCATCAAATAGAATGAATGAATACCTGGAGGTTACCTGGAGGTTATTCCGGGGATCAACGCCCCCGCGGCCCGGTCCACGACCAGGCCTCCCGATGGATCAGGGCCTGATCAACTAGGCTGTTACTGCTGGCCGCACGCAGTCCAACGTACGAGCCACAGCCCGGCTGATCCGGCACTGACTTTAGGTATCTGTCCAGCTCTCTCTTGAAGGCAGCCAGGGGTTTATTGGCAATTCCCCTAATGCTTGATGGGAGGCTGTTGAACAGTTTTGGGCCCCGGACACTTATGGTGTTTTCTCTTAGTGTACCAATGGCGCCCCTAATTTTTATTGGCGGCATTTTGCATCGCCTGCCCAGTCTTTTACTTTCGTAGGGAGTGATTTCTGTGTGCAGATTTGGGACCATTCCTTCCAAGATTTTCCAAGTGTAGATTATGATATATCTCTCCCTCCTGCGTTCCAACGAGTACAAGTCAAGTGCTTTCAAGCGTTCCCAGTAGTTAAGGTGCTTGACAGAACTTATACGTGCAGTAAAGGATCTCTGTACACTCTCTAGATCTGCGATTTCACCTGCTTTGTATGGAGATGTTAATGTACAGCAGTATTCCAGCCTAGAGAGAACAAGTGATTTGAAAAGGATCATCATGGGCTTGGCATCTCTCGTTTTGAAAGTTCTCATTATCCATCCTATCATTTTCTTTGCACGTGCGATCGTGGCACTGTTGTGATCCTTGAAAGTGAGATCCTCAGACATTACTACTCCCAGGTCCCTTACATTATTTTTCCGCTCTATTGTATGGCCGGAGTCAGTAGTATACTCTGTTCTAGTTATTATCTCCTCCAGTTTTCCATAACGGAGTAGTTGGAATTTGTCCTCATTGAACATCATATTGTTTACCGTTGCCCACTGGAAAACTTTGTTTATATCTTCTTGGAGGTTAACCGCGTCCTCAGCAGATGACAGCCTCATGCAGATCCTAGTATCATGACTTGGGAATAATTATGGCAGTTGACCTTTCTTTCAAAGAACACAATAAGACAGGTCACGACAGCCAGGAGAATGACGGGGTGGGTAATGAGAATTTTCAAAACAAAGGAAATAATGCCAATAGTGATAATTTTCAAATCGCTAGTGTTCCCTCATTTGAAACATCAGCGTTGACGGGCCCGTTCAGGGCGAGAGAAATAGCTTGAACAATAGAGACCGTTCATGGTCCGCATAGAGCCAGTAAAGTAATTCAATTACTGGAAACGCCGAAATTTTACTCACTGGAGAGGAGATACGCGAGCCTTTCGGGACCTCAAGAAATTTTTTATATAGCTTTTATCCAACAGAACTCATCGTCATCCACAAGTAACGATAAGAAAGTCCTAGCGCCTTCCCAAATGGTGTAGGGGGATTGAGATGTGTCGAGTGTCGTTTTAGGCCTAAGAGAGGGCGTTTCACGATCGCTTTTAAGTAGTAGTAATGACTTTTAGCTCGCATTCAGACAATCAAAGAAGCAATTAAAGTTACAGCAAAAGTCAAGAGTAAAGAAAATGGTCTCCAGATGTGCTAAACTATATAAAACATACGAAGCACATTGAAATCCTTCCAATATAGTTTCCTGCCCAACAGTATTTAAAATGTTCAGTATTAACTGGGTTTTGTTATAGATTTTGGCGCAAAGGGTACAAGAAAAAGTAAGCTAACCTAACTTAACCTAAAATATCTAGCATATGGAACTGTAACTGGTGTTTTCGTTTATGTTCACCTTACTACCCGAGGCACGTTGGCTGACAACACCAAACTGATGATTGGTCGACACGGCATTCGAACCAAAATAGTTAGTTTTTACTAATACTCATGATAACTATCACAAGAAATATGAATGCAAGGGTATTTATACCTTGACTATTTTAAAAATAAAATGTTGCACAAGTTCTCAAAAGGACAGTCTGGATACCAGCCCTATGCTGCCTTAACAGTGGAAATATTAGTTACAAAAATGCTCTGAATAAAATTGTGTATATGCATAGCACCAGTTACAACTTACCATGTCTCTTCCCTCCTCTCCAATGTGACAAGAGTTAAGGCTGGAACAGGAACACTCAGTCTCGTCCTGCAGATGCAGCTCCATATCAATCTCTTCCACGTCTCTCATACTCTGAATCTTCCGTGTTCTGTAATCTCGCGTCTTCCTAGGTGTGTGTGTGTCAGGCACCATCTTCAAGATGACAGTGCTGTGTTCCTCCCGAGACTCCAAGAGGTATATAGCCTCCAGACCCACGTCCACCTCCCCCAGCACTGCCCCTTTGGAGGGTTTAATGGCTGCTTGACCCATTCCTATAGTCGAATATTTGTGGCACCACCAAAGTTAATGTCAAGCATCTTAACTCTCCCGAAACCTTATGACTCGTGGGTAGAACTGTCTTAGAAGGCACATGTAGACTTAGCTAAGGAGGGAACTCTTGCAACTAACAAATGTCAACACTATTATGGACTAATTTAAATTCTTTATTGTACACTCCATACCTATCCTGCGAGCGACAGTCAAACATTACTCAAAAGTCGAATAAGGTGCCTCGGGACTGGGGCCCCAACCTTCCGACGAGAATAAGCGGGTTGATGTCCAGAAAATATGGGGCTGGATCAACAGCTCGCCTCCGGTACTACACAGTCAATAATAAAGATGTAGCTACGGTGACCTTGCATTAAATGTGGCAAACTGTTCAAAACGTTAATGCAAAACAAAAAAAAATCAGAGTACCAATTTTCTGTATCAATAAAGTCTGCATCGGCACCGTCTGTACGTGTTACATCACCCTATCTTTAACAATTAATGTTGATTCAGGTACTTTTAAATCACCGGTAACAATATATGCAGAACAACAAACTCAACCTTCCATTCTACCGGCCAGCGAGATACTGAGTGACTCTTTCTATTGTAAACACGAAGCACATGACACGTTACCCTCAGGCTGTTCAATACTTCCTCTGTCACTAGCACAGTAAATTACATTTATTTACTGTAATCACTGTCTGCACTAATGAATTTAAATACAAATACAAATTATAAAGACTAATTATAAAAGTAATAACGCAAACGTGAGCAGTTTAACTTAACAGTACAAAGATTGTATATTAATTATTTTGGGAACATCCGAAAACAGTGGAAAAAAGTTATTTTCAGACACCACTGAAACGTTGGAACTCGCTTGTTTACGTTCACGACCGGCTCTCTGATACAAAAGGCCTTTCTGATATAAAAGGCCTTTTCTGGATTACTTGATATGTATGCATGTCTAAAGTGCTATCTTTTACTGCACAATTTTGAGCAAGGGCCATCATTTACTGCTGCCAAATATCTGCTAATATTCGGCAACAATGGCAGCATCTTTCATAAAACTGTGCAATAAAATATAAGTATTCTCACAATGAAAAGTATACTAGGTACACAATAGCACTAATCACACAAATTACAACATTATGTTTTATACTAGTTACTTTCAGTTCCTTTGGGAGTGGAATTAAAATCGCAGGATGGCAACTGCCTTCAAACTATCGTCTGCATCCCACGCATTACGTCACGCCCAATGCTTCTCTCTACCTACTATTGCCACAAGTGTTCACATTTTTGTCGGCATGGATTACTGCCACTACGTTAGGAGTGTCCATGCATCACTGATCATTGATTTCCTAAAGATGAACTGCATTCGTTGATTATAATTACTTATATTTAGTGAGAAGCACTAAACCCAGAAGAGTCAGTGCGCTTGGGGAATGGGAGATAATCGTGTTCTAACCAAGGGGGGTTACAAGTCCAATTCCTTGGATCAAGAGCCCTCACCAGTATCATGGCACCTCCCTGGAGGCATGTACCAGCTGATTACTGATTGAATGCTGCCGCCCCTTTCCTATGTGCAGGCGTATGAACGAGAGGAATTAAAAATATTCATTAATAATTTTTCAAGAATGTTCCATTTATCATATTATATATATTAAAAAATTATTTGCATTTTTCCACCTGCTGACAGGCAAGAGGCGCATGTGCAGGTGCTGATGGATCAATAACATCAACATCTTCCGTCTGATACTCCTCAAGAAAGCTTCTTTCATACTGGTGAGGGGCTCTTGATCCAAGGAACTAGATATGCCTCCCATTCCCCAGACACTAAATTACTCCTGTGGGTTAAGTGTTTCCCTATAATGATAATAATAATAATATAATAATAATACAAGAAACGGCAGCTACTCTAATCTAAATGTCATTTTCCAAGATTAGATCAAGAGGTAAACTATATTTACCTAACATCGCGCAGGATCAATGTTCATACACTGGTTGTTTACCTAACACCCCATCACACAGGATCAATGTTCATACACTGGTTGTTTACCTAACATCCCATCACACAGGATCAATGTTCATACACTGGTTGTTACCTAACATCCCATCACACAGGATCAATGTTCATACACTGGTTGTTTACCTAACATCCCATCACACAGGATCAATGTTCATACACTGGTTGTTTACCTAACATCCCATCACGCAGGATCACTGTTGTTCATACACTGGTTGTTTACCTAACATCCCATCACGCAGGATCAATGTTCATACACTGGTTGTTTACCTAACATCCCATCACACAGGATCAATGTTCATACACTGGTTGTTTACCTAACATCCCATCACACAGGATCAATGTTCATACACTGGTTGTTTACCTAACATCCTATCACGCAGGATCACTGTTCATACACTGGTTGTTTACCTAACATCCCATCACGCAGGATCAATGTTCATACACTGGTTGTTTACCTAACATCCCATCACACAGGATCAATGTTCATACACTGGTTGTTTACCTAACATCCCATCACGCAGGATCACTGTTCATACACTGGTTGTTTACCTAACATCCCATCACACAGGATCAACGTTCATACACTGGTTGTTTACCTAACATCCCATCACACAGGATCAATGTTCATACACTGGTTGTTTACCTAACATCCCATCACGCAGGATCACTGTTCATACACTGGTTGCTTACCTAACACCCCATCACACAGGATCAATGTTCATACACTGGTTGTTTACCTAACATCCTATCACGCAGGATCACTGTTCATACACTGGTTGTTTACCTAACATCCCATCACGCAGGATCAATGTTCATACACTGGTTGTTTACCTAACATCCCATCACACAGGATCAATGTTCATACACTGGTTGTTTACCTAACATCCCATCACGCAGGATCACTGTTCATACACTGGTTGTTTACCTAACATCCCATCACACAGGATCAACGTTCATACACTGGTTGTTTACCTAACATCCCATCACACAGGATCAATGTTCATACACTGGTTGTTTACCTAACATCCCATCACGCAGGATCACTGTTCATACACTGGTTGCTTACCTAACACCCCATCACACAGGATCACTGTTCATACACTGGTTGTTTACCTAACATCCCATCACACAGGATCACTGTTCATACACTGGTTCCACTCCATTTGATGCAAGTTTACTATGAATCTTTCCAGCAGATCTAAAGTTTCTTACATATGGCATCAACGTCCCATGGGACAGTGCACTGTTTTAGTCACTGATTGTTCCTACGCTCAGTGTATCTTGTAAATTTACAAGATACAAGATGGCTTGAGCATCAATCAATTAATTCATGTTCGGTGACACTTCGGCTACTGACCAAGAAACTTCCCTCAAGGGACCTCTCAAAGGAGGTTCCTTGATGCCAGTGAGGGGGCTCTTGATACAAAGAATCGGACCTGTAATTCTCTTCATCGGATCGAAGCAGATTACCTTCTATTCCCCAAACGTTGCATTAGGCTTACCACTTCCTCGTAAATACAATAATAATAATAATAATAATAAATTCCCTCAAGAAAAGGAAAGCACAGCTCAAGTGTTATATAAAAATTCAATTTTCTCAACTACCTGTCACCACACTTCTGACATTCTAAACTAAAATCAAGCCTGTATTTGATCAATTGTTGATTCCAGTCATTTCGCCGCTTGACCTGAGCAGAGTGCGGACGTGTGACTACTGCCCTCTGCTGGCCATTGGAGGAGACTTATATTTTCACAACATGGCGCAGTCTGTGAGAAGGCGTTTGCACACGGTGTGCCTTGAATTGGTGCGTGGTGCAATAACGCCTCAGTCTGCACAAGTGCTTTTACCGCAAATTATCCGTGACACCTATGGTGTTGCCGATCAAGAACTGTATGGTGTGGCGCTAAATGGTGCCTATCGTATTTTTGTCAAGTTGAGATCAGCTGGAGTGTATGAACGGCTGGTTGACAAGTACCAGGACAGGAGCGTGGACGTTAATTCAGCGATACGTGTTCGAGTTCGACTCATCGACGTGTCTAGGCATTACACATGGGTGAAAGTCCGAAATGTGCCATTTGAGGCGGACGAGACTGATCTGCGGAATGTATTTGAACAGTATGGACCTGTATACTTGGCTATGGCTGGTAAATGGACGGATGGGGCGTATGCCGGCTTGCCGGATGGTACGTTCACGCTCAAGATGACGTTGAGGCATTCCATACCGTCTTACGTCATACTGGACGCATTTAGGACGCAGGTAATGGTGTACTACGCTGGGCAGCAGAAGACGTGTAGGTTATGTGGTGCATATGACCATATGGCGGCCCAGTGTGGGAGATGGCAGCGGAGACAGGAACTAGGTAGTGAGATGGTGAAAGAGCCAGAACCGGAGGTGGGTCATGCTGATGAGTCACCTGTACATAGAAGTGGCACTTCCTGGAGTGAGGAAGTGGAGCGTGAGCTGCCACTGGTGGGTACCAGCCCATCACTGTCACAGTGAACGGGAAGACTGTGCAGATTGGTGACGTGTGGGTAGAGGGAGGCCTACTGGTGAACGTGAAGGAAAAATCCTTTGAGAAGAAGGTTTCTGAGGATAACTTGAGAATGGTGAGGAGTACTGTTCAGATTGAAGATGAGCAACTTGGAAGATTGGCGAACATGGCAGATGACTCGCCAGGAGTGGTGGAAGTGATTGAGGTGAATGCTGAGATTCACAGGGAGGCATCCAGTGAGTTGGAAATAGATGCAGAGAGTGTCAACCGTAAGAGGGCAGCGACATATTCTGACTCGGATGATGTTTTGACCCTGGCACAGAGACCGGGGAAAAAGCCGTGGGTTGATGTGGTGTGTGGGAGCTCTAAAGGTATGCCTGGTCCGGTGTTGGATCAGGGGAAGCCACAAGTGGGCAGTGGAGAGAAAAGTGGAAGAAGCAGACACACTGGAAGCGTGTCAGTGAAAGGTGAAATGGGGCAGAGGGTGAAATCACATAAGTAGGTTTCCGGTGCATGACAGTGAATATTAATGGATTGTGTGCGAGTGAGAAGCGTCTGTGGGTAAAGGGATTTTTATGACATGCTATAGACATTGTTTTTGTGCAGGAACATAATTTCAAGCTGGGAAGGGAATTGGAGGTGGATGGGTACAGAGTGTTTGTGATGTATTCGGAGCGAATGAAGGGAGGGGTGGGAATCCTGATCCGAGAGACGAGCCCGTTTGTTGTTCTTAGGAGTGAAGGGGGGGGGGTCGTGTGTTAAGAATAGATGGGTGGTTGAGAGGTGAGAGGATGGCAGTAGTTTGTGTGTATGTGCCGGCTGAGAATGATGTAAGGGTAAAGAATGAATTTGTGAATAACGTTTTGGTATATTGCGGTCATTACCGTCAGTGACAATAGTTGGTGGCGACTGGAACTGTGTGGTGCGAAGGAAGGATGTGGAACCGAGAGGGGCAGGGTGTTTTTTGGCAAGTTTAGGGGATCTATTGAGAGGTGTGGGATTGAGGGATATAGTTGATGGAGGGGATTGCGAGATAGAGCACACATTTCATAGAAAGGGATATGCTGCACGATTAGATAG